CAGCAGTTGCGGCGGCTATGACACCATCACAGGAGGCAGTCCCGGCGGAATTCGAGAGGGCACCCGACAGACCTCGCCGGATGGAGCTGGTTAAAGAGTTTGTGGCGGCAGGAGGCGACTGGGGAGCCTTGATCAGGTGGTTCGAGGCTGCATACCAGGCATTAGACTGGATGGAAAAGGAGGCATTGAAGGCACTAGCCACGGCCTTAAATGATGAAACCCTCGCCATCTTCAAGGCCATAACGGCAGAGCGGAGGGCCATGGTACAAGCAGCCTGCTGCAGAATGACTGAAGTCTTCGACCCGCCATCCAACGTGAAGGGAAAGTTCCAACATCGCAATGGAGAGGAAGCAGAGTCACCCCTCGCCTCTACCGTAGCACTCTAATGGCGCCCGGGCAGGCGGTTTACCGTTGGCTGGATGAAGTCTCGCTGGATTCCTTGGTGATAGAGAGGATCCTGGCCCTGGTTAACGAGATGGGCGTTGTTCTGCCCATCGTGGAGGAGGAAGCACAGACATCCTTGTGGGCAGCCCGGTGTTTGCGGGCACAAGCAGAAATTAACCGGCGGACCCAGGTGGTGGCACAAGTAGAAGCGGTCCCGGGGGGTGGCGCCTGCACCTCCTGCCCAAGCTGCAAGGCGAGGTCTCCCGGCAGCGGGGGTCCCGCCCGTCGCGACCGCAGTTGGGGGGAATGAAGGGCCGCTGGAAGAAATAGCGGTGGCGGTCTGCGGGTGGACGGGGCCCAGCAGAACGGCCCCGCAGCGACCTCGAAGGTGGGGGCCGAGAGAGGAGGCAGCAACTCCACGGCGGAGCCCACCCATCACCTGCAATCGCCGCGGCCGTCAAGGACACATCGCAACTCACTGCCGTCAGCACCGACGGCGTCTACCGCCTCATCGGCGGCCCCGGCTCAACAACATCAGGCGAGTCGCGACACCCCAGACACCCGGCTAGATAGTTCACCTCATGCACTTAGGGACTCATCGCCTCTCACCGCCTTCGTCGCCATCCCGTACACATATGCTATCTGAAAACTGTGAGCATCGGGGATAACGGGCTCGCAAAATCCACAGGTGGCCTGAGTTGTGCAGTCATTGAAAGAAGCTGGCGTGGCAGGTCGTAGCGGCAGCCGCAGAGGCCTCGGTCGCGGTGGGCTCAGTGGGAGGAGTGGAGGTCCACCATGTAAAATGACACTGGCACCGTCGGCCACTGTTATTCCCAAGTTGATTTTTCAACTTATTGCCACATAGTTGCCGTCGCTGGGCGCCTGTCACCATTACGTGCGTGGTGGCAAATGGTGGTAACATGGGGATTGAAGGGTAAATCGATGTGCTGGTGCAAATTGAGGAGTTCACCTTGTCGGGAACCCACACTGGTTTCCAGCACATTAGCTGTTCCATGCCTACTCGGAACCGATTTCTTGAATAGGATGCCTCTCCGAATACTCACTGACCAGGGTTGCATAGAAATGCATTTGTTTTCTGCAACCAGTGGGCCAGTGTACGGGAACAGGAGTGTCTGTACAAGTGCTGGTCAGTCAGTCGGAAACTGTGCCTCCGGCCATGTGATTCCGTTACGATACTGCAAACTGCTGGTGACGACGCAGGTTGACTCGCTGATTGTGGTCTCGCCATCAAAGGCGATGACCCGCAGGTTAACATTGGCAGGTGCACAGACAGCGTTGAGCGCGAGACAAAAAACAATCCCTCCAATTGCTCAATGTCGGGGAGGAACCGACCACTGTTCAGGCAGGAACAGTATTGGCTCGTGTGGTGCTTGTGTCCCCTGAATTGGATGACTTACTGAAAACGGTGGTTGCAAGAGTCATTAAGGAACCGCCATCGATCAATTATGCCTGGCTGCAAAAGCTCCGTTGGGAAAAAAACCCGGAGCTGTCTGAGGCGCAGTTGGGATCGACGCTCCTGCAATTCTCGAATGTGTTCAGCATGTTCCATCACCTTGATGCGGGAGATGGTCCCCCGTTTAGATTAAATTTGTGTCGCATGGGCCAGGTAGAAAAACAATACGTGCAACAGGCAGTGGACAACATGCTCACCGCGAAGACCATTTCTCTATCCACTAGCCATTGGGGGGCTCCTGTTGTATTAGTTAAAAAGTCTAATGGAAGTCTGCGTTTTTGCATGCATTTTCCTCGCCTTACACAAGGTTACACGAGCTAACGCATGCCCGCTCCCATGTATTTGATTCCTTAGACGCCTTTTCTGGAGCATTTTTTTTTCCACATTGAACTTGTTGGGATTTTGGCAACTGCCCTTGGACGAGTCCTCAAAGGCTAAGACCGCGTTTCGTACACCTCAAGGATTGTACCATTTTAACTTTCTCCCGATGGGACTTTAGACAGTGCCTGCTACGTTTTGAAGGTTGATGGAGTTGGTTCTTGCAGGATTGCAGAGGGATTCTTGCCTTATTTATCTGGGTGATGTTATCGCCCTCGGTCTCACGTTTGATAAGCATTTCCAGCGACTCCACGTGGTATTATCCAGAGTGCATACAGCCAACCTGAAATTGAAACCATATGTCACCTGATTCAATCGTCCGCATGATATTTGGATCACGTTGTGAGCCCGTAAGGTGTTGCCACGGATCCCACTAAGACGGCGTGTGTGCAGAATATGCCGACCCCGAAATTGATGGATGATGTACGTAGCTTTGTTGGCTTCACGTCGTATTATCGCCGGTTTGTCCCGAAATTTGCCACAATGGCGAGGCCCTTTCACGCGTTGACGGTGAAGAACCAAAAGTTTCAATGGTGGGCTGAGGAGGAAACTGCTTTTATCATGCTGTGTGATCGTCTCACATAAGCGCCACCCCTGGCATACCTGGACTTCTCCCTGCCCTTCACCCTAGACGCAGACGCCAGTGATCTGGGGATAGGGGCTGTCCTCTCTCAGGTAAAGGACGGGGTCGAAGTCATCATTGCCTATGGTAGTCACGTTCTTTCGCCAGCTGAGCAGCGTTATTGCGGAACTCGCCGGGAATCGCTAGCAATCGTGCACTTTGTGCAGCAATATAGACCTTACCTGTATGGCCAAAAATTCACCGTTTCCAACGATCACGCCACCCTGCAGGACTCCTTACACATAGATCAGCCGTCGGGCCAGTTGGTGCGCTGGCTAGAAAAATTGCAGGAGTATTTCTACCAAATCATACATCGGAAGGGCCTAAAGCATGGGAATGCTGACACGTTGTCACGGTTACCTCGCGAAGACCCGTGTGCATGTGCATCGGGCGCTGGCCGATTGCAAGCCTACCGTTCCGGAGGCGCCCGGTAGCGTCAGTACAGCCTGCAGAGCCGCCGGCAGACAAACCGCGCTGGGCCTACGCACTGGGTCTGACCTATCCATACAGCTGTGGGTCGATGACGCCAGACTGCTACCTTTGCGCCACCGGGTAAATGCAGACCAATCCGCGTCAACCTCCCTAGTAGGGTCTCAGTTTGTGCTGCACGAGGGGTTGCTGATGTGGTGGGACGTGATGTCTGGTGGTGGCCGCATCTCTGCGAGGCAGGTTGACGCGGGAGGTCCATGCAAACAAACTACTGCAACTCGGCTGCTGTTGAGGAAATGCATTGCTCCTGGTGGGAGTCGAGTATTTTACGAGGCGGCCAATGCCCTGGCCGCTGTCTGACCAAACGGCCGCATGAATTGCTGATGCATTCCTTCACGGATACTAGGGACTACATCTTTCATCAAAACTCCTACAGGTGTGCGAGGCGCCGGGCACAAAGAAAGTTTGCACTTACCTGTACCACCCTCAAATGGATGGTGTGGTGGAACGACTGAATAGAACCCTAAGAGCAATGCTTTGCCAAGTCATGGATATGACGCAAAACAACTGAGATCTCCATATTCGGGGGGAACTTGGCAGACTATTGGCTGGCCCCACATGCCTCCACGGGGTTTTCTCCCTTCTATCTCATGTACGGCCATGAACCTGAAGCTCCCATAGAGACTCAGCTGGGTAAGCTTCCTACAGGTGTGTCTGATCGGCCTGCGTCCTTGCAGGTTACGCTCGACCGATTGCTTGAAGCGCGGACAACGGCAATGGCGAACATCGTGACAGCAGAGGCTGCTTACGAGCGAAATACACCGCGGCAGGTTCATTCACTTCCCTGGGTGGTGGGCGACAAAGCATGGTTGCATTGCCCGCAGGTCCCGTTACGAACCTATCCCAAATTTGCATCGGCGTGGCAGGGTCCAGTCGAAATCAACTGAGTGAATCAGCCGCGATGTGTGCGCATTACTCTTAAGTTGCAGTACAGCACGTGTCTCCCTCGTGCTTTCGCAGCTGCTTCGCCCTTGCTCTCAGGACGCGGCTCACGCTTTGCCTCCCGCCGCAGTGGCACTCGCTCTCTCTCCGCCTCGCCGCTGGCTGACGGCATGTCGGAGAGAGGGGAGGCTCTGCTGGTGGAGCCCGCCACGTGGCTGATGGTGGTAGCGTAGGCGGTGACGACGTTTGGACCCAGGGCTCTTCACACCGACGACCCGGAGTCTCCTGCTCCCTCTCCTTATATCCCTCTCGGCGGGACTAAGCCCCGCCTCTAGCCACGCCCATCTCGGAACCTTCTAGAGGGCTCTCGAGGCTTCCTGCTAGCTCCGCCCATTTGACCTTTCACCCAGATGGGATCCCCCTTGCTGATTGGATGTGAGACAACACAGCACGTATCGGCAATAACACCACCCCGGTCGTCACGTAGGTGGCGCACTCTCATTACACATACATCTGGGACATCACTGTTGTTATGTTCACCCGCTGGACCCTGCAGCGTACGCCGATCCGGCATTGAGGACCCGCGCAAGATATGCATGATTGTCCAAGCACTGTTCCTGAACGGAGTAAGGGATTGTTGCACCTCGTCATTCCCGCAGTCTTGTTGTGTTGTTGTTGGCTAACTGTGGGATGTACATCATTTGCGCGCCGAAAATGCACTCACACTGCGCGGACACTTATTCTCACATACACACACACACACACACGAGGTCAGGATTGTTCATGTGATTGTTTATTGCCTAATTCGGACACATAAGGACATTGTTGTGGGCTCATACCACAAGGGGCTCACATGCATCACAAACACCTGATGCCATTGTGATGTCATCACTTTCATGTTGGTGGGTTTCTCCTTGGGCTTCCTTTGGTCTGTTGTGCTGGGTTATTTCCTTCCCCGGTGCTAGCCTGGATGGCTCTTTATTAGGGGGGGGGGAGGGAATAATGTAAAGACTTGATCACAACAGACGACTTACCACACCTAGTGCGTACGCTGTGTGTGCAAATACGGGCAGCCAGGAAGCGTAACAAGGCCTTGGATTGGTGCCCATAATCTGGGGGAGACCACTTCGGGTAGATCACGGAGAAAGGGGAGGTATAGAGAGGCCTGGAAAGGGATTGGTTTAGAGACGGAGAAGTGAAGGGATGGGGTGGAAAGATACAAACGCAAAGGGCGGGAAACGAAGTTTGTCTGAAAGGAGAGCGGTAGAGAATCCATTCGAGAAGGAAGCTGAGGATTGACTGTAGAAAGAAAATCGGAGAACCGTCGAGAAAGGGGACTCGGGAGATATTGAAAGGGCAAGCTCAAGGGGAGGGGATGCTTGTAGAGAATAACACTGTGCTTGTAGACAGTGTTCGTGTCCACAATGAAGGCTCTTCATGAATCGAAGTACGTGTTTCGGTCGTTGTTACACACTTACACTTATACGTGCATTTACACATACACAGCTATACACACACCTATCTCTATAGCCTTTAACAGACTGTTAGGGCAAGTGCTGTTAGTGATCACCTATGAAGACCGGCATGGCACACGAGTAGGTGGCCAATACCACGCCCAGCCGCCTTTGTCTCCCCAATGGCGATGTTTATACACCAAATCAGGTACCAATTTAAGGCTGAGTCGACCTAAGGGAGGCCCCGGACCGGATGTGTACACACCTACACATTTTCACCTAAACAAATAAACCATGTGTACACATACATACCTACACCGATAAATGCACCCTTGTACACATGCCCTGTACACATGTACACAGTTTATACGAGTACACAATACTATTCACCTGTACAGACTGTTCACATATACTCTCTGAAAATGTGACCTAATTGTGGAAATTCCAAACTACCCTGGCGTGACCAGCCTCCCAAAAGGAAAACTTATAAAGAGGCTGATAAGTGTTAACTATTGGGCCGTCCATAAATGACATCACGCGATTTTGGACGATTTATGACCCCCCCCCTTTCGTCACAGGGCGTCACAAAAAGTCAAACCCCCTCTTAAATATGACGTCACAAAGCTCTGCCCCCCCCCAAAAAAAATAAAACATGCTTCAAATCGGTTTAAACTATTGTCATTGTATTCTTGGTTCTTTCGGTAAAGTAATAAAATAATAAAGTATATAAAAAATATATTTTATTGTTTCCCTTCTACGTGACTTTACCGAAAGAACCAAGAATATGAATCCCTGCAGTCACGAAAGCTTTAAATCAAAATTTATTGTCATCGTAGTGGGTATTTAATGTGGCGCGGCACTCTGATGTTGTAGGAGAAAACATTTATTTAAAAAGTCTATTTAATTAAGTAGAAGGTGTTGTCTATATTTATTTAAAGTTGCGCATTTTGATGTGACGTCACATTCCTCAACCCCCCCCCCCCCCCCCATCGTCACACAAATGTCTGACCCCCCCCCCGTAATTTCCGGACGGCCTCTAAAGATCATGATAAGATTGACGCCGACCCCACAGACGTCGGCACAAGGCAGGACAGAGAGTAGGTTGTGCATCATTAGCGGGGGGGGGGGGGGGGGGTCTCTGGTTCCTGCCGCCGGGATCCCAACAATCCTTATTGGCTACCCCCCACCATCTCCCTGCGGACAATCTCCACCTCAGTGACGTCACTAGAGATGCCCGCGGAAAGTCGATCCTCGTCACAAGAGTACCAATATTCATTCGTTTCGGATTCACCTTTTTTTGTTTTAAGGACGATAGCTCTTCTTTGGTTCTTTCGGTAAAGTCACGTAGAATGAGAATAAAATAATAAAATAACACAATAAAATTCTCACGACGTTTCGGCCACAACGCAAGCGGCCTTCTTCACTTGTGTTGTGGCCACTTGTGTTGTGGCCGAAACGTCGTGAGAATATTATTGTGTTATTTTATTAATTTATTATTTTATTCTCATTCTACGTGGTGACTTTACCGAAAGAACCAAAGAAGGTGAATCCTTGCAGTCACGAAAGCTTTAAATCGAAAGGACGATAGCTGTTATTTCTTCACCGTCTTCTTCTTCTTCATCAAAATTTCGGATCGTGTACAGGACGCCTCTGATTCTACCCGGTTGTGTGACGTCGCCGTGCCCACAAAAGTGACGTCACGCAACACCACGTGCCACACGGTTTTTTTTTTTGGCGCGAAAAGTACCCGGGGGCGTGATGTAAAAAGTGACGTTGCTTTCACGTGACGTCACACTTTCGTAAGAATGCTTTACAAAAAGAATCGGATGCTCGGAAAAATCCGAACGGGCGTAGATCAGTGGCGTAGTAACTTACAACTCGGGGTGGGGGGTGTGGCAATCGGTCAGGCGGGGACCCACCAATATTTGATCTGTCTCGCACCGTGGCACCTAGAGGCTGTTATATATCGCGGCCTCCTCTTTGGGGTCGTCCAAACATGACGTCACGCACCTGGGGGAGGGGGGGGAGGGTCAGACATTTGTGACGATGTGTGACGAGGGGAGGGGGGGGGTGGTTTGAGAAGTGTGACGTCACATCACAATGCTTCAACTTTAAATAAATATAGACAACACGTTCTAACTTAATTAAATAGACTTTTTAATAAATGTTTTCGCCTACAACATCAGAGTTGCAGTGCCACGTTATATACGCACTACAATGACAATAGTTTAAAGCGATTTGAAGCATGTTTTACTTTTGGGGGGGGGCAGAGCTTTGTGACGTCATATTTGAGGAGGGGGGGGGTCTGACTTTTTGTGACGTCGTGTGACTAGGGGGGGGGGAAGGGGGTCAAAAATCGTGGGAAAAAAACGGCGAGATGTCCGATTCGCATCGTCGTCACGCTCACGGTCTCGAACATTTGACAGTGCAGGGGCGCGTCGTCTTCGCACGACGCAGTCACCACAACAGAGCCCCGTAGGAGTCCCTCTTGGCGATACTTGCGCCGCTGCTCTAATTGAATGAGAATGAAACGTGGAACGTCAATGAAAGCATTTTTTTTTTACGACAGACTTTAAATAAGTGCTGTTGTGCTTTTACACTCTTGTTTAAAAAAAAACAAATTTCATGGTGGTTGGCGAGGGGGCTACCAACTCGTAGCTTCTTTGGCCCCTACCGCTCGATCGGCTACTGGCCTCGATATGAATATTTTGCATACACGTGTGATGCAAGTGTTCTGTATGTGTAACTAACTTCACTACACGGCTTCACCACGCGCGGCCCGCCTTTGTCTCCCCAGTGGCGATGTTCACACACCACAGCAGTTACTCGTTTGAGGCTGAGTCGACCTAGGGGAGGCCCAGGACCGGTTCAAATAATCGTCACCGGTGGTGGCCGTGAGCGGGAATCGAATTGGGGTCGCCGGGTTCGTTGGGCGGCGCGCTAACAGCTACACTACAATGCGTTACACTTCCACACACACACAGATACACACACAGACACACAGACAGACACACACACAGCGCTCTAACCGCTACACTACAATGCGTTACGCTTCCACACACACACAGATACACACAGTCACAGACAGACACACAGACAGACACACACAGCGCGCTAACCGCTACACTACAATGCGTTACGCTTCCACACACACACAGATACACACAGTCACAGACAGACACACAGACAGACACACACACAGCGCGCTAACCGCTACACTACAATGCGTTACACTTCCACACACGAGGGTCACGTGACAGGTTTGACGACAGAGCTCACTTGTGCAAAAAAATATATGCATTATTGAGCTCCCCCCCCCCCAAAAAGTGTATTTTTTATCTTTTTTGCATGGTGTACTGTCTGGAAAGTACCCACATGGCAAATTTCAAGTTTGTTGCATGTCGGGAAGTACGCTAAACATTTTGAACAGACACACAATCACAACTTTGCCTTTTATATATATGGAGATGACAGTAGAGTCAACCTACGGTGTGAGGGGACTAGTGGCCACGGGAGGAAATGACAGGGGAGTCAGCCTGCAATGCGAGGGGACTGGTGGCCACGGGAGGTAGTGACAGGGGAGTCAGCCTGCAGTGTGAGTGGACTAGTGGCCACAGGAGGTAATGACAGGGGGAGTCAGCTTGCAGTGCGAGTGGACTGGTGGCCACGGGAGGAAATGACAGGGGAGTCAGCCTGCAATGCGAGGGGACTGGTGGCCACGGGAGGAAGTGACAGGGGGAGTCAGCCTGCAGTGTGAGTGGACTAGTGGCCACAGGAGGTAATGACAGGGGGAGTCAGCTTGCAGTGCGAGAGGACTGGTGGCCACGGGAGGTGATGACAGGGGAGTCAGCCTTCAGTGTGAGTGGACTGGTGGCCACGGGAGGAAGTGACAGGGGGAGTCAGCCTGTAGTGTGAGTGGACTGGTGGCCATGGGAGGTAATGACAGGGGAGTCAGCCTGCAGTTTGAGTGGACTGGTGGCCACGGGAGGAAGTGACAGGGGGAGTCAGCCTGCAGTGCGAGTGGACTGGTGGCCACGGGAGGAAATGACAGGAGAGTCAACCTACAGTGCGAGGGGACTAGTGGCCACAGGAGGTAATGACAGGGGAGTCAGCCTGCAGTGCGAGTGGACTGGTGGCCACGGGAGGTAATGACAGGGGAGTCAGCCTGCAGTGCGAGTGGACTGGTGGCCACGGGAGGTAGTGACAGGGGAGTCAGCCTGCAGTGTGAGTGGACTAGTGGCTACAGGAGGTAATGACAGGGGGAGTCAGCTTGCAGTGCGAGTGGACTGGTGGCCACGGGAGGAAATGACAGGGGAGTCAGCCTGCAATGCGAGGGGACTGGTGGCCACGGGAGGAAGTGACAGGGGGAGTCAGCCTGCAGTGTGAGTGGACTAGTGGCCATAGGAGGTAATGACAGGGGGAGTCAGCTTGCAGTGCGAGAGGACTGGTGGCCACGGGAGGTGATGACAGGGGAGTCAGCCTTCAGTGTGAGTGGACTGGTGGCCACGGGAGGAAGTGACAGGGGGAGTCAGCCTGAAGTGTGAGTGGACTGGTGGCCATGGGAGGTAATGACAGGGGAGTCAGCCTGCAGTGTGAGTGGACTGGTGGCCACGGGAGGAAGTGACAGGGGGAGTCAGCCTGCAGTGCGAGTGGACTGGTGGCCACGGGAGGAAATGACAGGAGAGTCAACCTACAGTGTGAGTGGACTAGTGGCCACAGGAGGTAATGACAGGGGGAGTCAGCTTGCAGTGCGAGAGGACTGGTGGCCACGGGAGGTGATGACAGGGGAGTCAGCCTTCAGTGTGAGTGGACTGGTGGCCACGGGAGGAAGTGACAGGGGGAGTCAGCCTGTAGTGTGAGTGGACTGGTGGCCATGGGAGGTAATGACAGGGGAGTCAGCCTGCAGTGTGAGTGGACTGGTGGCCACGGGAGGAAGTGACAGGGGGAGTCAGCCTGCAGTGCGAGTGGACTGGTGGCCACGGGAGGAAATGACAGGAGAGTCAACCTACAGTGCGAGGGGACTAGTGGCCACAGGAGGTAATGACAGGGGAGTCAGCCTGCAGTGCGAGTGGACTGGTGGCCACGGGAGGTAATGACAGGGGAGTCAGCCTGCAGTGCGAGTGGACTGGTGGCCACGGGAGGTAGTGACAGGGGAGTCAGCCTGCAGTGTGAGTGGACTAGTGGCCACAGGAGGTAATGACAGGGGGAGTCAGCTTGCAGTGCGAGTGGACTGGTGGCCACGGGAGGAAATGACAGGGGAGTCAGCCTGCAATGCGAGGGGACTGGTGGCCACGGGAGGAAGTGACAGGGGGAGTCAGCCTGCAGTGTGAGTGGACTAGTGGCCATAGGAGGTAATGACAGGGGGAGTCAGCTTGCAGTGCGAGAGGACTGGTGGCCACGGGAGGTGATGACAGGGGAGTCAGCCTTCAGTGTGAGTGGACTGGTGGCCACGGGAGGAAGTGACAGGGGGAGTCAGCCTGTAGTGTGAGTGGACTGGTGGCCATGGGAGGTAATGACAGGGGAGTCAGCCTGCAGTGTGAGTGGACTGGTGGCCACGGGAGGAAGTGACAGGGGGAGTCAGCCTGCAGTGCGAGTGGACTGGTGGCCACGGGAGGAAATGACAGGAGAGTCAACCTACAGTGCGAGGGGACTAGTGGCCACAGGAGGTAATGACAGGGGAGTCAGCCTGCAGTGCGAGTGGACTGGTGGCCACGGGAGGTAATGACAGGGGAGTCAGCCTGCAGTGCGAGTGGACTGGTGGCTGCGGGAATGATCGAGCATAGGAGCATGGCCAGGTGACGGAAGAGGCCAGTGGAGTCTGCTGGTTGAGCGAGCGGTCTAGAACCATCGAGAAGGTTCGGCAATGGGGGCATGTTCTTTAAGAGAAATGCCGTGGGAGACTCGGGGCTGTTGCAGTGGGGTTCTCCATCTGTTCAAGTGAACGTGTCTTCAATAAAATAAACCATCTCAAGTCATCATTACATATGTATTAATGTGTCAGCGTATACTCGTGTGTGATACAGCAGCTGATAACAGCTATCATTACAAATACAGCAGCAGATATCGTAGCTGATACAGCTACCACTGCACCAACAGCAGCATCAGCTGCAGCAGGAGCTATAGCAACAGCCAATACAGCTACCACTACGCAAACAACAGCATCAGCTGTAGCAGGAGCTATAGCAGCAGCTGATAGAGCTACCACTGCACAAACAGCAGCACCAGCTGTAGCAGGAGCTGTAGCAGCAGCTGGTACAGCTACCACTGTACAAACAGCAGTATCAGCTGTAGCAGGAGCTGATAGAGCTACCTCTGTACAAACAGCAGCATCAGCTGTAGCAGGAGCTGTAGCAGGAGCTGATACAGCTACCACTACACAAACAGCAGCATCAGCTGCAGCAGCTGATACAGCTACCACTGCACAAATAGCAGCACCAGATGTAGCAGGAGCTGTAGCAGCAGCTGATACAGCTACCACTACACAAACAGCAGCATCAGCTATAGCAGGAGCTGTAGCAGGAGCTGATACAGCTACCACTACACAAACAGCAGCATCAGCTGTAGCAGGAGCTGATACAGCTACCACTACACAATCAGCAGCATCAGCTGTAGCAGGAGCTGATACAGCTACCACTGCAGAAACAGCAGCATCAGCTGTAGCAGGAGCTGTAGCAGCGCCTCGTACAGCTACCACTACACAAACAGCAGCATCAGCTGTAGCAGCGCCTCGTACAGCTACCACTACACAATCAGCAGCATCAGCTGTAGTAGGAGCTGATACAGCTACCACTACACAATCAGCAGCACCAGCTGTAGCAGGAGCTGATACAGCTACAACTGCACAAACAGCAGCATCAGCTGTAGCACCAGCTGTAGCAGGAGCTGTAGCAGCGCCTCGTACAGCTACCACTACACAAACAGCATCAGCTGTAGCAGGAGCTGATACAGCTACCACTGCACAATCAGCAGCACCAGCTGTAGCAGGAGCTGTAGCAGCGCCTCGTACAGCTACCACTACACAAACAGCAGCATCAGCTGTAGCACCAGCTGTAGCAGGAGCTGTAGCAGCGCCTCGTACAGCTACCACTACACAAACAGCAGCATCAGCTGTAGCAGCGCCTCGTACAGCTACCACTACACAAACAGCAGCATCAGCTGTAGCACCAGCTGTAGCAGGAGCTGTAGCAGCGCCTCGTACAGCTACCACTACACAAACAGCAGCATCAGCTGTAGCAGGAGCTGATACAGCTACCACTACACAATCAGCAGCACCAGCTGTAGCAGGAGCTGATACAGCTACCACTACACAAACAGCAGCATCAGCTGTAGCACCAGCTGTAGCAGGAGCTGTAGCAGCGCCTCGTACAGCTACCACTACACAAACAGCAGCATCAGCTGCAGCACCAGCTGTAGCAGGAGCTGATACAGCTATCACTACACAATCAGCAGCACCAGCTGTAGCAGGAGCTGATACAGCTACCACTACACAAACAGCAGCATCAGCTGTAGCA